TTATTTACTACCTTACTGTCTGACTTCACTCACTTATTGGGCTGTTATAAATACAGTCTGATGATTATTTATTTCCCTTCTTTTTCCTCCTCTTCCATTCTTCATATGTTGGGTGTTTTATTCTGTGCTCTTTTTAGGAGTGCTCCCATCTAGAGCAGTCCCTCTAAGATACCCTGTAGAGGTGGTTTGTGGGAGGCAAATTCCCTCAACTTTTGCTTGTCTGGGAATTGTGTAATCCCTCCTTCATATTTAAATGATAATCGTGCTGGATACAGTATTCTTGTTTCAAGGCCCTTCTGTTTCATTGCATTAAATATATCATGCCATTCTCTTCTGGCCTGTAAGGTTTCTGTTGAGAAGTCTGATGATAGCCTGATGGATTTTCCTTTGTAGGTGAACTTTTTCCTCTCTCTAGCTGCCTTTAATACTCTGTCCTTGTCCTTGATCTTTGCCATTTTAATTATTATGTGTCTTGGTGTTGTCCTCTTTAGGTTCTTTCTTTTGGGAGTTCTGTGTACTTCTGTATCTGAGCAACTATTTCCTCCCCTGGTTTGGGGAAGTTCTCAGCAATTATTTCTTCAAATACACTTTCTATCCCTTTTTCTCTCTTCTTCTTCTTCTGGTACCCCTATAATGAGGATATTTTTCCTTTTGGATTGGTCACACAGTTTTCTTAATATTGTTTCATTCCTGGAGATCCTTTTATCTCTCTCTGCATCAGCTTCTGTGCGTTCCTGTTCTCTGGTTCCTAGTCCATCAATGGCCTCTTGCATCTTATCCATTCTGCTTACAAATGCTTCCAGAGATTGTTTCACTTCTGTAATCTCCCTCCGGACATCATCCCTCAGCTCTTGTATATTTCTCTTCATCTCCATCAGCATGTTTATGATTTTTATTTTGAATTCTTTTTCAGGATGACTGGTTAGATCAATCTCCTTCTCAGATGTTGTCTCTGTGATTTTTGTCTGTCTCACATTCTGCCTTTTCATGGTGATCGAGATAGATTGCAGAGCTGGGGCTAGTGACGGCTGCGAGAACGTCCCTTCTTGTTGGTTTGTGGCCTTCCTCTCCTGGGAGAACAGCGACCTCTAGCGGCTTTTGCTGGGCAGCTGCGTGCAGACAGGGCCTCTGAATCTTGCCTTGCCACTGTGGAGTTTAGTTCTGCAGTTGCTATGGGTGTGGCCTGCCTCAGGCTGCTGCTCCAATAATGCAGAGCCCCTTCGGAGGGGAAACAGCTGGGACGCTCTTTATCTCCGTGAGGGGCCTCTGAACTGCCCTGCTGCACAGGGGGTTAGGACGCCCAGAGTTCTCCAGGATTCCCAGCTGCTGGGCTAAGTGTCCCCAGACACTTCCATCCAGCTGTGGGGTCCCTGTCCCTTTAAGACTTTCAAAAAGCACTCGCTTTTCTTTGTCCCCAGGGCACTGGCTGCAGGGACCCGCTCACAGGTCTTACTGTCCTGTTTCCCTTGTTTCCAGCACCCCATGCATGCACTGTGTCTGCGCTCTGGTGCAGATGGCTAGGGCTGGGTGTTTAGCAGTCCTGGGCTCCCTCTCCCTCCCCACTCCGACTCCTCTCCTCCTGCTGGGAGCTGGGGTGAGGGCCACTCAGGTCCCGCTGGGCCACGGCTTGTATCTTACCCCCTTCTCAAGGCGCTGGGTTCTCGCAGGTGTGGATGTAGTCTGGCTGTTGTCCTGTGTCTTCTGGTTTCTCTTTTAGGGATAGTTGTATTTGTTGTATCTTCAAAAATATATGTGGTTTTGGGAGGAGATTTCCACTGCTCTACTCACGCCACCATCTTGGCTCCTAATCCCCAATTTTTTGATCAAGCATTTGTTATTTTAAATCTTTAGCTAAAAAAGAAAACAGAACCTCCCAAACTTTGCTCTGCCATTTACAGCCTAGATGGAATCACCTCGGCTTTTTGGAGGGTTCCAAAGAGTTGCTGTGAGGCAGAAAGGGGCCAAGTGTGAAACACTGATCTGGGGGTTACAGGCCACTAACTTTATCTGACCATTAGATGCAAAAACTTGGGATCCAGAAAGGCAATAAGGAGAAAGTGATGGGTCAACTATTTGCATCAGGTTGGTTTAAATTAAGAAATATGAGTGTAGCTTCCCAGCAGATAAAGTGATCATCAGGCCGATAATGTTGTAATCTGCAGGAGAGGCAAGAACGACCATGCTTGTTGAAGGGCCAGGGGTGAGCCACCACAGGCTGCCAGGGTCCTGGCACTGCTCCCACACTCACCCTCCTGAGGAGTGGATGCCCATACCCAAACATCTGCCTGCTCCACACCCCTGAATGGCTGTGTAGCTTATTCCTGGGGCAAGAAGGGGCTCTAGCCCAGGACCCACTTTGCAAATGAGGAGACTGAACCCAGCTCAGGGTTCTTCCTACACAACTGTCACATCTACCAGATGGTACAACATTTGCCCTGAAAGGCAGCTCCAGCAATTTCACTGGACTAAGCATCACCTTCCAGATGAGCAAAGGCAGCAGCAGGCACACCCACTGTGCAAGATTCTCACAGGTCCGTGCAGGCCTGGCCCAGCTCCAGACCTCACCTGCAGCACTTCTGCAGCCATCTGAAGACCCAGGTTCAGGGCATGGGGTCAGAGGCACTTGGGCAACAGACTCCTGGCCCAGTTCAATGCCTTTCCCTGGGCCCACACATCTTTCCTGGAGCCTCCAGACTACCATACACTTGGTCCGTTCTTTCTGCAATGCTATTCAGCTGCAAGGGAGAGAAGATTGCATGGGCCCACAGCCAGAGATTGGTGACTCTGAGGTGCCCATTCCAGGAGACAGTCTCTTGCCTCATGCCATATTAGACAGCAAGGGCACAGACCCTGGCATCTGCCAGCAGCCCACCCTCAGAGAATGGAAAGCTCTTCCACCCTCACCTCTGTTGTGTAGGTTTTACATGACACTCATTCATTATTTTTTTCTGCAGGACCATCTGCTCTGCAGACACTTGGGATGGGTTACAGGCCCATCTTTTGGGCAACCTTGTGAAAACCACCTTACATATTGGCAGAGTTGATGGGAAATAAAGATGTAGGTATATGCTATCCACAAGAGATTTTAGAGGTAAGGACTCAAGAAGGCTGAATGTTATATATGGAAAGATATTCCATGCAAATAGAAGCACAGAGTGACCTGGGGTAGCTATATTAGACAAAATGACAGTAAGTAAAAGCTTTTATAAAGAATAAACCAAGACACTATATGTTCATTATGGAGTCGATTGATCGAGAAAACAAAATAGTTACAAACACATTCCCCAAACATCAGCACTCCAAAATTTATGAGGCTAACTATGATAGCATTTAGAGAGAAACAGAAGGTTCAACAATAAAGTCTGGAGACTTAAATATCCTACTTTCAATAATGGATAGAACAGCTAGACAAAAATATAAGGAAATAGAGACAGGAACAGAGGATGTGAACAACACAATAAACCAATTGTATGGAATTGATATGTAGACACTACACATGACAATAGCCAAATGCACATTTTCCTCCAGGGGAAGTGAAATTTCTTCAAGATAAATTACATGAAAGGACACAAAACAAGTCTTAAAATTTAAAACAATGGGACTCATTCAACAATGAAATAGAAAAAAGAAAAACTGTGCATAAATCTTGGAGCTGAAGAACACTGGGGCTGCACTGAAGAATTCAATAGAGAGCTTCAACAACAAAGTTGACCAAGAAGTAAACTAGAAAATAGTGAATTGAAATTAACTGGTCATAGGAGCAAAAAGAAAAAGGAATAAAAAAGTGTGAGGAAAGCCTACAAGACTTAGGTGAAATCAACAAAAGAAACAATATATGCACTATGGGAAACATAGAAGACAGGAAAGAGAAAGGGATATAAAGTAAATTTAAAGCAATAGTAGCTAAGCCTTCCCAAACATGGAGAATTCAGAAATGGACATCCAGATATATGAGGCCCAATTGACCCAGATAAGTTGAAGCCATAAAGTGCCACACTGACACACATGAAATTTCATTTTAAAGAGTCAAAGACAGTAAATGCTGCGAGCCACTGCCACTGTTGCCCGTGGCAGAGCTGCAGGGCCTGCCCTCCCCTGGCACCTCCCTCCTCTCCTGCTCTCACTCCTCTGGAGCCAGGACTCCAGCAAGGAGTGTGGTGACGCCCCTTTCTGTCCTTCGCTTCCGCTCTGGGCGGCCCATGATGCTCAGCTGCCCTGGCTCCAGCCCGAGATGAATGCTGAGGCAAAGGCCCAGTTCAGCATCCTCCTGGCTACCAACTACTACAGTGGTGCTCACTATAAACAATACCCATCCAGCACAAGCAACGTTTATTCCTACTGTGAGTGCCGTGAAAAGAAGACAGAAAACTCCACAATGAGGAAGGTGTAATTCAATGAAACAGTGTTTTATGGGCTGCAGTACATTCTTAATAAGTACTTTAAAGGCAACGTAGTGACCAAAGAGAAATTCTAGGATGCCAAGCAGGGGCAGAGAGCATTTCCAAGATAAGTAATGTCTTAAAAGACAAGGGATGCAACTACATTCTTGAGAAATATGATGTGCATATTACAATAGAAATAAAAGCTATTCCCAAGGGCTCTGTTATTGCCCAATCAAATAAATGTTCTTTGTAGTGGAAAATACAGCTCCAGAGTGTTACTGGCCTCCAAATTGGATTGAGACTATTCTTGTGCAGTCCTGGTATCCAGTCACAGGGGCCACACATTCCAGAGAGCAAAAGGAAATTTTGGCCAAATATTTGTTAGACACATCTGGTAACCTAGATGGTCTAGAATACAAGTTACATGGTTTGGGCTACAGAGGACTTTCTTCTCAAGACGCTGTGGTCAGAGAAGAGCCTGCTCACTTGGTTAACCTCAAAGGCACAGACGCAGTGGCAGGAAATGCTGTGATTAAAAAATACTTTGGAATGAAAGATTCTTTTACAGGTTATTCTGTTTCAGCAACAGAACACAGTACCATAGCAGCTTGGGGTAAAGACCAGGAAAAAGATACTTTGAACATTAGTAACACACTTTCATCAGTGCCTATATCTGTGCTCAGATACAGCTGAGACATTTTTTTAAATGCCTGTGAAAAAATATGAGGTGAAGATCTAAAGACATTTAATACTATCAACAAATACAGTGGCACCACTAATAATCAGACCTGATTCCGGAAATCCTCTTGACCTCTGTGTGGGTAAAATTATAATATTTCCATCATAGCTCACCAGCTTTACTGTATTTGCATATCCTCAGTGGTGGAGAGAAGTTCATCTCCATACCAATGGGTAATTAATTACCTGGGCAACTAAGGGCTTATCTGAACCTGAAAGTTTAGGGAGAGGTCCTTGCTTGCTTGCTTTTGCCAGAAGAGAGAGATGGCCACGGACTGCAGTTTGTAAGCAATAAATGGATTTTAAACTTTATTTCTCCCTTTAACTGATTTCAGTCTTAGAGGTATTTTGTCCCAGGATTTCATCTCCCTGGACTTACATCTGGCGGTAATTAATGGCCACTGGTGGGTGCCTGGGAAGAGGCCACCCAAACTTCCTCAGGTCTCTGCCTAAAATGCTTCTGCAGGATAAGCCTCCAGAGGCCACAGTATCCCAAAGGAGAAGACCACAGAGCCCAAGACTGTTCAACAGGAAGAGACCACAGCCCACGACTATCCCACAGGAAGGAACAGAGCCCATGACCATCCCACAGGAGCAGCCCACGGAGCCCACAGAGCCCAGGATGGTCCCTCACAAACAGACAACAGTGCCTGAGGCTGTCCCACAGACCCAGACACCCTACAGCCTTTTCCTGTTCCCATTCCTTGTCCCAGCTCTCTTCATGTTACCATTGCTGCTCTTGTGTATCTGGTGCTGCAAGAAGGTGAGGGAGCCCTAACCACACAGCCCTGTGCCCAAGTTCTCCAGCACCCCCTCAGGCACCCTGACACCTGCCTGCCCCAGGATCCTGCTCTAAGGTCACCTGACCAAATGCTTAGGTACAGGTGCTGCCCTCCCATCCCAGGGCCCACACAGCCTGGCTGCTGAGGAGCTCTGTACCTCAGGCATGCCTCAAGGACGTGGCCTGTGAGATGCCCTGGCCACTGAGGAGAAGTGACCCAGGCTCTGAGTCGGGACTGCCTCCCAGGAGCCAGTGTTCTGAGGGACTCAGGTGGACAAAGTCTGAGGAGAGACCTCTACTGTGAAGGGAAAGAGAGACCCTGAAGGGGCAAAAATGGCCCCAAAGTACAGTCAGGTGCCCCAGGATTTCTCTCCTCAGGGGCAACTGTCCCTGTAAAACCAACGTGGTCTCTGCCCATCACTAGAGCCTTGTCATTCCTCCCCAGTCACTATGCAGGGCCAGGTTGTGCAGGGCCCCATGCTAGGCATGGGCGACAGAAATGAAGCGGCTGCATTCCTGCCACAGCAGCTCCAGGTCTGGTGTCTCGACTGACCTTGGTCTCAGAGTGCTGAGGGTAAAATGTCACCTTCATGTCATGTGGGAAGTGCCCTGCCTAAGCAGAGCAGTAACAAAGGCCAGAGGCTGGCCCAGGGGAGGGTGGGCACTGAGGCTTGGCTAGCTGGGCTCCCAAGGACACATGCGGGAGTGCTGCAGGAGGAAGGACCCCCAGAGGTGTGAGAGGGCAGCACCAGCAAGAAGCCTGCAGATCCCAGGTCTTCAAAGTAGGGGTGCTGGGGACAGGAAACCAGGGTGCTGGGTAGACTTCCCTGAAGGCTGTGCACTGGGGGTGCTTCAGGGTGTGGAGAGTGGAGGGGAGAGAAGAGAAGGAAGGGAAGGGGATGATCTCTTGTCTTCATAAGATGTAAAGAATGCTGTTGAAAACCACCCCATGGGACACCTGTGCCAGGACCAGACACCCTAGCCTCAATGTCTCCCCAGGGGCCGACAGGGAGGTGTGAACTCAGCTCAGGCAAGTGGGGCTGGCTGGCCACAGACCCACATGAAGCAAGCACTCAGATGGACACCCAAAGCCCTGTTCTGTCCCTCTGTTGCAAAGCAGGGTCCCCTCTCATGTGCATGGCTGAGCCAGAGCCCTCCATACCCCTTCCAGTCTGTTTATCTCTTCATCTTTCTGTCTTCCAGAAGCTGCCACCAAAAACAGACAAGGTAGGTCACGTTTAGTTGTGATGGTGTCAGAGCCTGATGGGAGACCTCCTGCAGCCTAGAGATATTTCATCATCAGTCTACCTATCACTGCTTGGGCAGGGAGCTGGCAGAAGAGGGTGACAGAGGGGCAGACAGAGGGGCAGGGTGGATCCCCCCAGAGGATGTGGAACTCACAGTGTCACCCAGAGGACACCCTTCTCATGCTCCCACCAGAGCCTGACCAAGGGTCTCTGTCACTGAATTAGCACCTTGAGAGCCTGTTTCAGCAACTGCTATGACTTCCCTGAAACAAAGGGGCTTTTGTTACAGCCACATCTGCTTTTCAGGGCAAACTGGACATGTGGGGTGACTTTGTTCAGACCTGCACCCAGACTCCACTGACATGCCGTCAGCCCAGAAACAAGGAAAATAGGGCACAAGATGCTCCAGGGCCTTTGCTCTTTGCACCTGCCCACTAC